CCAGCGCCACCTTCGTGGTTATGTTGTCTTCCCTCGTCCACCATCGCCATCACCCTAACAATTTTTTGGTCGTCCTTCCTCCACACCAGGGGACTAATGTTATTTTTCACCGCTGCCACTACAATTTTATCGTCGTTCTTTCTTGTTCACCAACCTACCACAGTTACTAGTATGTTATCTTCCCTCGTCCACCACCTCCACCACAACTTTATTGTCGTCTTTCCCTCTTTACCGCACTGCCACGGTTATCTTGTCTATCCTCCTTCACCGCACCGTCACGGTTATGTTGTCTTCTCTTCTCCACCACCATCACGACCGAAAAACTCCTGAAATCCTGCTTGCGCGCCGTTAACACGGTGACAGTTTTGGCCAAAGTCTTAGTATACTTTTTTTTTCTTTTTTTACACTGATACATTCGAAGATGTGGTATTCCCGTGGTCATAATGGGAGAGACAGGTTGTGGAAAAACCTCCCTTATTCGGTTCATGTGTGGCTTACAATCAGGACCCGGAGGACCCAAGAACATGTTGCTCATGAAGGTAAGAAGCCACTAAATATCGTAAATCTCATTTACTCATTTTTATAATTGAAGTTTTAGTGGGTGAGATTTATGTTTTCTTTTTCATCTTAAAAACATGTCCTTACTGAAAAATACTCACCGATCCTATTATCTTTAATTCCACATTTAGTGTTCATTATCTTGCTCTTGGCGCTTTGGGAGGGAAAACGTTCGATAAAGAGTCAGTAATTCGTTCCTCATTTTGCCTTAACAGGTTCACGGAGGAACATCCCACAAAGACATTGAGAAGAAAGTGGAGGAGGCTGAGAAGATGGCCAGAAAGAACGAAAGCCATGGCATTGATACGGTGTTATTCTTTGATGAGGCCAACACAACAGATGCTCTAGGGATGATCAAAGAGGTTATGGTAGATCGCAGAGTCAACGGTAGAAAAATCGGAGTTGGGCTCAAAAGATTGCAGTTTATTGCAGCATGTAATCCTTACAGGAAGTAAGCACACTTCTGCCTAGCCTGTCGATGCTCTATCTTTATGCAAATATACATGTTATTGACACATTTGTATTTCTTGCAGACACACGGAAGAAATGATCCATAAACTGGAATCAGCTGGCCTGGGTTACCATGTTGCAACTCAAGAAACACATGATCGGCTTGGTAAGACATAGGCTTCTAAGACAGTTGTGAGCATTCCGTTTGCGGCGGGCATGCATTAAAATGTGAAGCAAATGCTCCTTTGGCTTCATTTGAACTTACCATAATGTGTCATGTTTCGAAAGTCTGAAGAAAAATAGCTTTAAAAAGTTTCTTTTGCTTATAAAAGAAACCTGCTACATCATACTGACGTTAGAGTCAGTGTGTTACAAAATGGGTGAAAGCAGAATGGTTTTGTGTTCAAGTGGAACCAATTTAGATTTCATGTACGGACTGAAATACTTCAGGCGTCTTTAGTTATCTTTACTTTGTCCTCCCTTATTTAGTTTTCAGTAAAGAAAAGTTCATTTGCTTTGTTTTATGCCAGGGCGCATTCCTCTTCGTCACCTGGTCTACAGAGTACATTCCCTGCCAGAGAGCATGCGTCCTTTGGTCTGGGACTTTGGCCAACTGAAACCTGAGATCGAGGAGCTCTATACGCGTCAAATTGTCAGCAGATTTGTAACTGGACATAATATATAGATTTAGCCAGGGCTAAAAGCGAAGCTCCAACTAATAAATTTATAATTTAAATCATACAATGAACTTGTAATCCACGAATCAGTTAACGTAAGGGCACATTCATGTGACTTTTGAGGGAAAGGCTAAGTTATTTTAGAGTGAAATATCTTACATCGAATTGATAGCCTTATATGTACACCCAAAAAATAGCAAACATCTTCGATCACATTCAAGATCATAGGCCTCGAAAAGAAATTCTTGGAAAACAAATCAGGCCGAATTTTTTTGCGTTCGACTGGGTTTACTTTACAAATTCTTGCCAACAAATCTGGGGTGTGTAAACCAACCTTTTATAATTTTTATACATTACATCTGAGGTGAAACAGTACTATTTATCATACAGACCTCGGACAGAATGCGGTATTTCACAAATTTTCAAGACAAATTGCACTCATTCAATATTCAGGACGATCAATCGTGGGCTGTAAGCGAAACCGTTCAAAACATTTCCAAAATCACCCATACGGCCAGTCGGTTCTCATTTCTATAGTGCGAGCTATCAGTGTAGTCGAGTGTGTGAATGAACTTTAATAGAGTTACGCTTCAACATAAAAACGAATTTATTATTATTATTATTCGTTTTTAATGGTTTCAGTTATAACGATGTGTAATGTTATAAAGCGTTTGATACGCGCGACATTTTTGAGTACTCCTGCAAGCGATGTTCATGAACGATGAAAACAAACGGCACAGACAAGTGATTAAAATTGCAAGAGAGACTACTAACAATCAAGGAAAGAAATATAATTCGGTGAAACACTTACAGAGACAACAATTTTCATTCACGAAGACAAGTATTTAAGTGTCTCTAAAAATCCTGAGTCTTTAAGCGTAAAGCTTAAGTAATAAGTTTATGTTTTAAGCCGGCTTCCCGGCGCGATGTTTATTGTTTTCAAAGACGAACTCCTCGAAGCAAGAAAATCGCTCATAGTTTTCTTTCTACAGCCAAATTTATAACTAAATCTTCTTCGGAACGTTTTCTTTCTATTTGCCGTGAGAATATATATCTGAAGGCTTTTTAAAGTTCTGTAAGCTTATATCAAACCTGATACTAGGTCAGATCAATGATTCAAATCCTACAAACGTGCATAAACTTGCCGCATAAACTGTGCTCGACTTCATGAAATTAGATATAACAAAAACAAACATCAGATACAATAATTACTCAGGCTTACGAGATTCAGTTCCTAAAAGTTGTCAAGGAAGGCCACAGTTGCTTGAGACTTTTAAACCCTCTTACGCATTAAGCAAGGTGAAAAACGAAAACGTTGCCATCCGAAATCGAATTACCGAATTTGACAAGCGACGCATTTCTCAACCAAAAACCCAGTACACAAACCAGCCATGAATAAACAGAAAACTCTTGATAGCAGCTGTATTTCATTTTGTACATCCAGAGGGAAAAGACAGTTAAAAACATCACAAGTTGAAACAAAACTCTGTCAGCTTCAGCTGCCAAAGTAAACAATTTTCAAGATGCCGCATGAATTTTCCGCACGAACTCACCAATCAGACATCTTGACCCATCAGAGCATAAAAATTGGACGTAAAGCTTGACCAACGCGTGATCATGGTAAGAAAAGGCCTTCCCCGCCTGTATTTTTAAAAAAACGGGCTGAATTTTAGCGTCCGAGGTCAGTTAGAAATCACAATCCTAATAGTGCGTGGCCATAGTGACATAAGCACAACATTTTTGATATAAATCATTGGAGAAAATAAACTTGAGCCTGCGATCATTTGAAACTGGTAATTTGTCAGCAGATAACTTCAAAAAATACTAGACCTTGACGGGTGGACACTTGAGCCCGTGGTACAGTCAGGTGGTAGTGGTCAGCGGATACCCTGTTTTGACAGCTGTCAATTGATCACAACATTGATGCGCAATTAGTTTTCTCTTAGGCTCCCAGACTAGCTAGAAAGTGTGAGAGTAAACATTGGTTACCCTGTGGTGTGGACGGACGGTCGGGCGGGCGGGCAGTCGGTCGGTCGGTCGGTGTACGGTCACGTGATTACCAAATTTTCGCGGATGGGTAGATTACCACATTTCCTTAGCTATGGGGCTCCGCCCACACGCGGCGCGAATATAATAGTGTGAGAGATAGCGTCTTACAGTCTGTTGGCAAATAACTAAAATGTGTACCTTTGTGTCCCATGACGTTTTTCCTGCCGATTTTTTGACACAAAATTTTTGCTTGAGAATACAGCCGACATTTCACGAGAGCCCATCACTGGTTTCGCCGCGAACTGACGTCTAAGGAACAAGTGCAGAAATTTCATACTGATGACGTGTCACTACCCAGGTTTAGGTAGTGCTCCCGATTGGTTGAAGTAAATTTCCCTCCCGGCGCGACCAACTAGAAGCACTTCCCAGGTATGGGTAACGACCAGGTTATCAGTATGGAATTTCTGTGCTCGTTTCTCAGACGTTATTTTGCGAGGAAACTAGCGGTGGCGTCGCGAAATGTTGGCTGCTTTCTCATGCTATAACACTTTATACATTCTATGGAAGAATCGATTTTTAAGCAGCAGTTCTCGAAAACGTCTTAGTCACTGTCAGTTGTCACTGTCGACATGAACATCGCATAGCTATTTTACAGTGCCACTTATTTCATATTTGTGCTATTGAATAATTCTCTTGATGTGGTGTTCTATTTTCGTGTAAGATCCTTCAAGAAAAACAGATTCCAGGGGGTAAGCCTTTGGTCGGAGCTCTGACGAGAGTACTAACTGCTTCTCAGCGTTACATGAGAGATCAGACGGTAAAAAATAGTGCTTTTGTTGTGTTTTGTGTGCATCTCGTTTTCCATTGTGTATGAACTTTACGAAAAATTTAGACCTTTTTCAACAGTACAGCCAGTCTGAGAATTCTTGTTTGACTGTATTTTTTTGTTTACTGTTAATAGTCTATTTTACAGTTACAGGTGGAAACGAGGCTGGAGTTGACCTTGATTTTATACGACCCTTCTTGCTTTATTACGTAAATGCGTTCTTATGCAAACTAGTATTTTTAAGCAAACTTTCCATGAGAAAAGGAGGGAGGTTTGTATCAAAACAAGGTCAGTCTCAGCCTCGCTTTCACTCAAAGGCAAGGATACTAAGCTTACAACTGTAAAATGGTATTCTGTCTTACATGCCACTTCTCCGACGGCACCTAATCTTATTTCTCAAATTACAGCTGGTCTCAATGTATTATACTACTTTATGCCCTTTCCATCCACGCCAGTAAGAACTCTGAACGAAATTGTTGTCTTGCAATACTCATTTTTGTAGGATGAGTGTAGCTTTGTGAGCCTTCGAGATGTAGAACGTGCAATGAGAGTGATGGTCTGGTTCTACAACCATCGCGATGCTCTTAATCCTCTAATGGATGAAAAAATTGACGTGGAAGATGAAGAGGATGGTTTGGATAAGGTAAAGGAGATTTGTCCTTTGAAGAGAAATAGACAGAATTGCATACTAAATAAGTATGTTCTTGAGTGACGTAATGGAATAAAAAAACATTTTGCTCATTTGAGAATATCTTTTTCATTACGTAAAGCATACGTGCGGTGTAGAAAAAAGTTGTTTTTACCAATGGCATGACTCTGCACTTGTCACAAATACCCGCCTTAACTTTGTTTTAGCCCATTAATGGCGTGTCACGTGCCCTGGTGCTTTCAATTGGAGTGTGTTACCATGCAAGACTTCAAGAGAGAGAACCTTATCGGCGTGCAGTGGCTCCTAGCTTTTCCCGTCCATGCCAACTACCAGGTGGACATAAGCGAATTTTAAAGGAAATTACAAGGTGGGCCACACTAGCAATTCATTATTTTGGAAGCAATGACTTCTTATTTGCTGCCACATCAGATGATGCAAATACCTTTAACCGAGTTGTCATTAAGGTCGTTACACCCAAAGGCGATATGTTCACGATAGGCTGTGGTGTCTCCAGCAATTTGCAGTAGCTTAAGTGTATACGTTTTTCAGTGGTATCTTGAGGGATTCTTAGACATGAACGCGTGGAGAAATCGTGTAAGAAAAGCTAGAAATAAATACAGAACCTTTGCTACCAAGCTGGGTTACAAAGTAAATCAGGTTGTTGTTGATTTTATGAATGCATGTTTACTTTGTTTACGGAACTTCCTTTTTCGTCATCAGATGCCAAAAAGCAGTGCTGAAAGAGCTAGAACTGGGTCATAATATCGCACGTAACGCAGCACTTAGTGAGAATGTGTTTATGATGGTGGTGTGCATTGAACTCAGGATTCCTTTGTTTGTGGTTGGTAAACCAGGCAGCTCTAAATCTTTAGCCAAGACCGTTGTTGCTGATAACATGGAAGGAGGTGCTTCAAGATCTGACCTTTTCAAGACCTTTAAGCAGGTGAAGGCAATGTACTGAAAAGACTATTACGAATGTTTGTTACTGTATTGCAATTGTTAGAATCTATCAAACAAATGTGATAGAGTGGTAAGTATCCTTTATGACAACGACAAAGATGAGGAGAGGAAAGATCACCGCAGGACTATTTTGCTTAATTTCTTCTTCCTTTGATTTAATCACAGTGTTGTGTTGTATTGGATCGTAATGAATTGTATTGTATTCAGGTTGTTCGTCGTGTTCTTAGGTTTGTTATTAATGTATGCCAATTTCGTGTTCCACAAGGTTCATATGGTGTCTTATCAGTGCAGCCCTCTCTCAACTGCTGACGGGATCGTTGCGACTTTCCGTCAATGCGGCAAGCTCCAAAAAGGCAAGAACCCAGACAAGTTCGTGTCAGTTGTGGTCTTAGATGAAGTTGGCCTGGCTGAAGACTCGCCTCTAATGCCTCTTAAAACGCTCCATCCACTGCTGGAGGATGGCTTAAGTTCCACAGATGGCATCATAGAAGTGGAAGAAGAGTTTCCTGAAAGAGTAGCCTTTGTTGGAATATCCAACTGGGCCCTCGATCCTGCAAAAATGAATCGCGGTATCATGCTTTCTCGTGGGCGTCCAGACACAGAGGAGCTAGTGGAAAGTGCAATGTAAGTTTTCCTCTGTTTTGGGACTAAGAATGGTATTCATAACTAAAGGAAGGCCCACTAAGTGTTCGCTTTAGTTTCACGAAACAATTAATAAACGTCCCTGACAACGCCCCTAACCCGGCTAACAATAGGAGCTGCAGGTTATAGGGACCAATAAAGATAGAGACCTACGGTAGATGCAGACCATAGTGAACACTTTTTATCAGATACACAAAACAGGACCATCTCTTTGTTACTGACATTTTCACACTAGATGTCCCACTTAATAAAAATTGACCATCAGCTAAATGTTCACCTTAATGAAGGCAGACCGGTTTGGTTCAACCTTAAATGAGAAAGACACTTTTTAGGGATGAAATATGTTTGCGGGCGACAAAAGGAGCGCGCCACCTATTCTTGATCAGCGGCACTCTTTTAACTGTCTAGCCGGATTTTTTGGATCGATTTGCATTCCTGTGTTGTACCGACTAATATGCATGGTATGAATGGTATGTGGCCTCGAAGGTCCTGGTGTTGAGTTCAAGGTCCGTCTGATGTCACAGTAATCACGTGAATGCACATGCAAGTGATGCAACAATCATTATCACACATTCAATTCGCAAGCACAGGTAATTCAGGTACACAAGTACTGCACTAAATGGGAGACTTTTCGATTCGCCTTGCCGGCCTGGAATCTATTTACCCAGGAAAATAGAAATAGAGCCTGATCTCAGCTTAGTGCGGGACAAGTTTTCGGTGAGATACGAGTGCTAGCAAAGTGTAGAGATCGATGTCAATTATACAGTTTATTCAGGTTTCACCGCAGTGTATGGGTTTTATATTTTTATACGTCTTCAAGCATGGTACGTCGCCTGTCATCCGAAAGCTTTAATAAGCGTTAAACTCCAGTGGTAATTTAAGCTGTTCCATTATTTTGTATCGCATCTCAATGGCCTTTTGTCATTGAACACGGAATGAATATTCGATTGAATAAAAAGACTTCGTGCATGAGTGCATACCAGCATTACTTGTGTCACGCATTACTGTTTTAATGTATCTTTACCGGCGAATAAAATACAAACGTCTTACCTCGCTGATCGCTCCAGAAATACTGCAGGCTAATTGTATCTAATCAAATGCAAATAAAATCGTTGAATTAGATAATTATATGAGTTTTGTTTACTCTGTTGTTCAATCCAGTTTTCAATGAAAGGCATTCACCTACATATGAAAGCGGTTTCGCCCGCACTTCGTAGCCAACGGCTACTGCTAGTTTTAGGTTCAATAAAAAAATATACAGCTTTTTAAGGATGGGTGGTGGGAAGTGTTTCCACCTTAATTTGATGTAGTTGAAATTAGATAGTTTAAGGAGCGTGATCCATCTTCTTTATGTTACTTAGGGGCATATGTGCAACTGATATAAGAGTACAAAACTTAGTTGCTCCACTCATGAATCTATTGGCCCAGGGTTACAGTGAGTTATACGATGGACAGAAACGGTTAGAAGCTCTTCGGGAGTCTAAAAAGGAGGAATTTTTTGGGCTCCGTGATTTCTACAGGTAGGGATGTTCAAATGTAGTTTAACTTGTCAGTTCCAGCTTATTTTAAGCTCTTGTTACAGTGTCCTCAAGGTCCTTTTCAGAGCATTGGAATTTCGGAAATAACAGTGCTCTTCCCATTAATCAGTCCATCATGCAGTTATGTCTAGAAATTCTCGCAATGGCGAATCTGCAAAAAATCGCATAAGCGAAGTTTCGCCAAATTCGCCATTTTCGTCAAAATTGCCTTTTTCAAGGGCACCTTTGCCATCTCATTTGCCTTGAAAATTATACTTTGGCGAATTTTTGCCATATTCGCCATATTTTCGTCAAATTGGCCATTATCGTCAAAATCGCTACTTTAGACGGCGCCCCTTTGCCATATCATTTGACTTGTTCATATTACTATGGCGAATTTTTGCCATTTCACAGTTTTGGCCAAATTTGCCATTTTCGTCAAAATCGCCAATCTCAAAGGGGACCATTGAGCATTTTTAATTTCACTTGTCCCAAAGGCTTTGGCGAAGTTTCGCCCTATTCGCCATTTTCGTCATGAACGCGTCTTTCCAACTTTTCTTATCGCCGGCGTCTGGATCAGCTTATACAGCTATATATCAGCTTAAGTTATACAGGTTTATTGAAAACAGCTATAGTGTTGTTTGTCTTTTATCCTAAATGTCAACCTCTCTTAAAACCGAGGGCAAGTGCGAAGTCTTTCTCACAGAAATTGACCCATTTTCCAGGCAAAGTTTTACACTTGGCTTTATTTCGAAACAAAACTTGAGTGCATTGAAGCTTGCAAGAATGGCCTATTTCTTTCATGTAGTGGTTATTTGTCAGGAATTTTATTTTTTTCTCAGTTTGACAGTTTTCAAACTCCTTGGATATTTTACCCCCGATCATGGTTGCAGAGTAGGAAATTCGAAATTAAACTGGGTTAAAAATGTTCAGATTATCACGAGCTAAAATCAGGACGTTAATGTTCAGATAAAACAAGCGTCGGTTGAATCATTCTATCCTCACATTGAATTTTAGCTTGGTAAAGATGGTGTACAAAACAGCTGAGGAGCATGGACGAGAGCCACGTTGGCCAGAAATTGAACGAGCCATCAGAAGGAATTTCGGGGGACTGGATGCGATTGACCCAGTGAAAATCTTCAGGAAACATATTCCTTTTAGCAGAACCGAAATGGTAGGCGTGTTGAATAATTTGTTTGTTTTAAAGTTGCCTCTGCTATGCGTCCACCGTATTTCACAGGTAGGCAGAAGGTCCACTCAAAAACTTCGAAAGGTTTTTAGGTTAGGTTGGGCCGGCATTCTGTGTGCACACCGATAACAACAGCTGTCGATTACGTCAGTTAGTAATCGACTTTCCTAGTCGATTTCCTACAATTAAGCGTTTGCACCGTAACTCCACTGGGGTGTAAATGTACTTTTCCTCGAAAAGGCTATAATGGTAATAGTCGGCATCTAAGTACAACGTTTCCGAAACTATACAGAGATTTCTCCAGTGTTTTTTGTGATTCTTTGCGTTTTTACTCATTTCCTAGAAGACGCAAAATAAAGATGCATTTTCTGCAGTCAACCTTATCAAAGCCAGCCTCGAACGCGAAATCTCCGGAGGGTAAGAGAGTCAATAAGATACAGTACTGTGCAAAAAAAATGAGAGCGAATTTCGCGAATTTCGACGAGCAAATTACGAACTTTCGTTTCAGACGAAATTTTGGCGAAATTCCGGAGCATCTTTTATTGTAGTCCCTGCGAAATTTCGGAAACTAGGTGATGACTCCGAAACGAAAGTTCGCGGCATGAACCGAAATTTGGTAGCGAAATTTCGAGAAAGCTTTACGAAATTTCGCGTCATTAACGTAACTAAATTTCGGTTCGAGTTAAGCGGTATTTCGCTTCGACGAACCGAAATTTCGTTACTGATAAGTTCTTAACTAACCAGGGCGCGGTTGTTTACAGCAGGATAAAGATAACCAAGGATTAGAGTGAAATTTGACTTCAATTGTGAACGCTTACAAAGCAGATTCATATGAATTCTTTTTGCCTACCATTTGATATTTGGACGCTCTAAAATCACGAGTCGAAACAAGCATAAAAAGCGCTGTTGATTTAGCTACTGACTGTAAATTGTATTCTATCTTAGCGATCGTGTCCCAAACGGATCGCTACGATAATCGAACGTTGCTTCCAATCAATCTGTTTTTGAAGGATACTACCGATCGTATCAATCATACACAGAAACCAGACCTTACATGTACAGCATGTACATACACCATTAACAACATGAACCTCAGTAGGCAGAGAATCTTGTGAAGAAAATTTGAGAGGGAACAACACTTGTTAATTTACGTATTGTTATGTGTGTTTTAATCTTACTAAATGAACGCGAGGTTTACTCGATGTTGCTGTCTGTTGTTGGCAGATGCACTTTTCAAATCCGTCAAAACCCTTAAAAAAAAAACTGTTGAGAACGTTCGTGAACCTACATGATGGAAAGCTGTTGCCTGTTTACTGTGCTTACTAAATTCCTTGATTGGTTGTTTTCCTCTTCCCTCCAGAGCTGAGTAAAACGAATTGAAAGTATCTCCCTGCAAAGTTTAAAACAACGCCGGATGGCAACGTCCCCTGTAAAGTCGTTCGAATTGTTCTTCGAACTTTCATGTTTTTAACTTACCGCAAGCGTGGAATGACAAGTCGCTGACACAAAGCAAAAGGAATTGAAGCGCAAACTTGTGAAATTTTATTGCTGAGATTATTTAAATCACAAGACTTTGCTTTTTGTTACACATATGTCATTTCAAGGCTACGATCGAGTCTTTCATGTAAGCTTTAAAATTTTGCTTTTTTAAATTAACTTGGCGTTAAGACAGAAGGAATATTAATGCCGAAAAAAATAAATTGTCAGGAATCGATTTATTAGCTCAGTTACGCTGAAATTAGAGAAAATGCTTAACTGCAGGTCGAGCGATGGTTTCGGCTAAAAGTAACCATATGCAAATTTCTTAATTCGAGTTTATTTCAGCGGTAAATCTTTAGCGACCGCCTCTTTGTTGAGAAGTTTCTGATGATTGCGGTAAAATAGACGGAAGTTAAATGGGGACTGTAACCGGCCTTTCCCTCAAGTAACGTGCAATCGGTAGCTGGTTAAGAATAGGTAAGTTTCAGTCTAAAAGACCAGAAAAGTTTTATTACGGGAACATTAACTTGGTTGTCTGTGTTGTGGGCAAATAGTGTTACTGATCTTTGTCGAACCAGATTGTGTGTTTCCATGAAAAAGTTTTAGAACGAACTTAACTGTTTGTTAAGCTATAAATGCGAAGCAGATCGTTATCAACTAGTGTAGTGAGCTTATGAAATTTGTTGCAACCAGCGCTGTGATGAACAATCCCGGCAATCGAGGCGATCGAACGTAGCGAACCTACAGTGAAGCGATTCAAAGCAATGCAGGTAAAGGACGGAATTCGGCGAACTTTGCTCTCATTACTTTTGAACAGTACTGTAAAATGACCCACTTCGTTTATCATTTACGGACAAACGCCAGAAATAGGCAACTTTCCTCTGATTGCACGGTGTAAAATTTGTTCCCAGAGGGTGGTGGGGGGTGGTGGGGGGTATTGATCACGTTTCATGGAAAATGTAAAATGGCCGTTTCACATTTCACGGACAATAAATTCGGCATTCACGTTTCAAGAGAAACAAAATTTTTATACGATCAGTTTTTTGCTTATTTTGGTTAAGAACTACAGCCAAAGAACTGCCTTGTTCGATGTCCCCACCATTCTCCCGCTGCTTGTTCTTGGTGCTGTGAAAAGGAAACCGAGTTCTTTGTTTAGAAGTTGAGGCTCCGCACCATCTTCTAATACAGAAACATTGTCATCCGAGGGGTCGTTATCGTATTCAGAGAGCTGGTCTGCTTTAGAAATTCAGATGAAGATCCATCTTTTCTTTCATCATCTTGTGGCACTTCAATGTCACAGTTCAAGATGAATTCAACACTCGAAACTCGTTTCACAGATTATTGTTATCAAAAATCACGGCTCACGGCGATTATCAATTCCATTAATGGGGAATAAAACCAGCAATTCACCGTTCACGAAAATACCCTTTACCGCCCTCTTCTCACTTGACGTTTTCATTTCAATAGAGAGAGTCGATACTTATTGGTGCTGACAGAGAACTATGCAGCCTTGCCTATTGTTCAGCAGGAACTGCACAAAAAAGGCGAAGAACCTGTCGTAATTTTCGGCAGTAGCTTTCCCAAGGACCAAGAATACACTCAGGTACTAACAGCTGTATTAAAAAGTAATTAAAAGTGTTGTTACTCGTGAGATGGATGTTTCGTTAATTAGACTGTTTCAGTAACAAGACTTGCTCCCTCCTCCGCAGAGTGTAAAATAGTAAGTGCGTGGTAAGCCTGTAAGCCCTTCCTATCTTCCTTCGCGAGCTTTCTTTTATTTCTTTTCCCCAGTCTCCGTAAGACACGAAGATGCCTCTATGGAGAGAAGAGTTAGCAGAAACATTGTTGAAGACATCAATATTTTAGGGCAATGGCATGCATTTTACTTTACAACCCGTAAAAACAACCTCTTCCATTTAACCAACCATTTACCTCTTAGGAACCAACTGACCTTAACCAACTACAGTTGAACCTCAACTTGGGGACTGAGGACAGTTTAGTAGCAGAGATGGAGCCGTTATGGAGATATACTAGAAAAGAGTCGGTTTTAAGATAGCTTGCTACCGTTTTAAGAAGAAAAATATCGTGTTAAAGTCATCAGGGTTCATCAGTTCTTTCTTTAAGCTGTGATCCCATGATCATTGGACTTCTATTAGCTGTTATAGCAATCTGTGGAATGTTTTGTTGGGTTGTCGTTTCATGTTTCAGATCTGCCGTGACATGAATCGAATTAAAGTCTGCATGGAAACGGGAAGAACTGTAATTCTTTTGAACTTGGAGAGCCTCTATGAAAGTCTGTATGACGCACTAAACCAGGTATAAGTGTCTGGCAATATTATATACACAACTTCGGTATAACTACAAGTCATTCTTTATAATGTCTTCTTCGTATTATTACTTGACATTTTAAAACTTCTTAAGTCAATCACTCCATCAATAAATCTTCAAATAGATCCACACATTTCTTGGCGTAAATTAAGCTTTATTGACTACCTTTATAACGGCGTTAACGTTTGCGATATATTATTTTTAATCTGCACTTCCAGTACTATGTGTATTTTGGAGGACAGAAATATGTGGATCTTGGCCTTGGAAGTCACCGTGTAAAATGTCGCGTCCACGATGAATTCAGGTAAAACGTCCTTAGACAGTACTTTCAGTCCGTGAACATGGCCTGTCAATACTTATATGTAATTCCTTGTCATAGTTTTGTCAGTTAATGAGGAACGTTGAGTCGACTAGGTCTCATAGAAGGCAAACTTTAATCACTTCAGAAGTAGGTTACAGTCGTAGAGCTAATGACATAGTAACACACACACAAAACTAGTATAGAGGTTGCTCATATACCTTAAAGAGGGGGTTTCTAGAATGTTCCGACAAATACATAGTCAGTCTATTTAGAGAGACTTACATAACGTTTGGGATAACGGTAGAGATCAGCAAATTGACATTCTAGAACGTTCTTATCCAAGAAGCAAATGCAGATGAATTCCAGAAAGTTCTAGATATCATAACAGTCATTGCCACACCAACAGTACATAAAAATAGTGTTTATGGCGTTTAGATGTTAAAGATTCGATTTAACCGTTCCAAACGCAGCCCGAAAGTTTTCGCTGGAAGAATTCAGGTCGTTTCATTACACTCCTTTATAACGAAGGTGCTTGGATATCTAATAGCTTCATTTTTGAATAATGTGGCTTAATGTGGTCTAGTAATTCTGGTAATTCTGCTTTAAGTAACGTTTACCAATTCATTTTCTGTCAAACAGATTGATTGTCATTGCTGAGAAAAATGTTGTGTACAGTAAGTTTCCGATTCCTCTCATTAATCGCTTGGAGAAACATTACCTGGTGACTTCAGCAAGTCTCAGTTCTCCACAAAAGGTCCTGGTGGACAAGTTGCAGGAATGGGTAAAAAGCTTTTCTCATGTCGACATCCCTCGTCACCGGCAATTAAGGTAAAGACAGAAAGTCAGCCAGGAATTTGTCAGTGTTTGTTAGGGCCAAAAGGCAGGTTTTTGTGTCCGATAAGCCCGAAAACCATATCAACGAAGGACAAGAAAAAAAAAATCGAAGAGCAAAGAAAAAGAAAGGAGAAAAAAAAAAATTGCAATGGTTTTGCACTATATTGGCTACATTTTTTTGGCCGAAAACAAAAGTGCTTGATGGAAGAGGTCTATTTGACAGTAACGTTTTCAAAAATTCTGTAAGATATATTTGTATTGTGCATGAGGTAAGAAACAAATTTGTAGACTGCAAAACATCCTCACTTTACGGATGGAACCCACGTACTCTTCCCTAACAAAATACCCTCACTACTCACTTACATAACAACTTAAACTTGTCCCGGTCTTCTCGGTTACGGTTCACGATTTGGCAATTTGCTGCAAGATTGACTTCATTTTCATATCGCAAAAATTCTTCCAAATTCGGTCGACAATAGCTGGTTATGAATCATGCGTGGGATTTTAGCCAATCAGAAAAAGAGAAATAGTTTAAATGAATAATAATGAAGTTTATTCATTTCTGATGTTTAATGATGTAATTTTGATCCTCACAGGAAGTACTCACCTGGTGACGCATTTGTTGGTTACCATGCTGACACAGCAGCTTGCGTCGTACTGCAAGTAACCAACAACATTGAAGAAAGCGAATTCAGTGATGAATATTTGCTAGACAAGGTATAGTGGGACGTAATTTGGATGAATTTGAATTTGTGTTGGCTAATTTAACCTTTTTGGTAGCTCATTAGTTTCTGGTACAGTATTTAATGCTAAGTTTCCTTCCAATCTGCTCTTTTTCATCATAGCCGTTCAAAGAATCTGAGGTGGTGTCAAAAATGGTCGTTTCTCCGTTTTCCAGAAGCACGCCGCTTTTCTTTATCGTCTCTTTACCACTCTGTCTGTTAACAAAGTGTGATGAAACTATTGATGAACCCATAGAATCGCATTCTTTTTCCTGAAAGTGGTGAAATACACCTTCATAAGTAGGAAAGTTAGTATTCACACACCTTATTGGCTTGATCGATTAACATTTGCTTGCCTTTCAGCTCTTCCAGGAATCGAAAGAATTGTTGTTACAATGCTCAACTCCGGATGCTGTTGTACGTCTGCCATCTACACACCTTGCTCAGCAAGCAGACGAGCTCTGGACAAATTACTTTACAATACAGGAACATTCAAGTCTAACAGCTTTTCTAAGAAATGTTCTGACAATAGAGGGAGGGCGTTCCGGAAAGGGGAGTTTAATTCAGGTGTGCTCTGATTTGATCTTTCGTTGGTAATTAATGAACCAACACTTAATAACTATGAAATAATATTGAATTTGATTTAACTAGACTGTTAATTGTCATAACCACTATGACCTCTGTGTATTGCTGGAGATAACTTATTTCTTCTTGTAGGTGACAACTCATTCCAGATTGCTCTCTTCAAATGATTTGCAAGACATAGCTCGTGCCACATCTCTACCCTTGCCAAACGTAACATGTCTAAGTCTTCAGCAGTTCCACACGGAACAACAGTTTTGCTCATCTGTGAGGTATACAAAATTAATTGCAAGTGTTAACTACTATTGCATTTCTAAACTTTAGGCAGACAGGAAGTGAGCTTACTTGCAGGGACGAGGGGGGGCAGAATATATTTTTGGAATGAGCATCATTTTTCCATATCCCACCTAAACAAAGGTGACTAAGTTTTGCGTTCTAGAGATACTTTCGTCGTCCTTGTCACAAGTACTTCCTTGACAACTCCAGAAAAAATTTACCGTATTTTGACCAATTAAACGAAATGGATTAAGAGCGATGTGCCGTTTTTAAAGCCTTTGCAGTCGTGGTTGCTTAAGCTCCCTAACAACAGTCCAGCCGAAACATTTAACTCAAAGACTCAATCCATTATTGCATGTTATCACATTGTGATTTTCTAGGGATTTCTTTGCACAACTTGGTGGGAGGAAAGGACTGCTTATCGTGCAATGCGATGCTGGAGACGTCAATCGTAATTTGATACCCTGTGCCCGACACCTTCTCGTGGAACAAAGGACAACTGCAGAAGAAGATTTCAAAGATTACCCTTCATCATTTGTGCATGTAGTTATGATTATTCAACTTCCTCGACTTGTCGGAGGCTGTGAAGCATTTGCTGGTTTCCAGGGAGGAAGGTGGCTGTCTGTTCACATTGACGAACTTCGACCGCCAACTGGTCACATCCCAGCCATTCAATTCATGGTGGATCGGTCAATGAGTGAGTTATTTGATGTTGCATCAAGCAGCATACGGGTGGACAAAAAATACGTTGAGGCAGCTAGAGATGACATGGAAGTCGACGAACAGAGTGATGCTATTGCGGATAGAGTAAATATCGTCAGCCTTTTGAGAAGCTGTGTTCAAGCAGCTATTGCAAGAATTGATGCTGAACCATGGCGCTCATCACGATCAACACGGCGAATTGAGCTTATGCTGAGTCTTCTTCCAGATGGTAGAACAGATGGGACTGGTAAGGGTGGCGTTCAATTATCTTTAATTATTCCCTCGTTATGATTGTCTCAAGTTTCACAACATTATGCCAAGCCAGTGGACTCTTTGCAAAGTACATGAAACAGTTTGAAGTCACTGGATTCCTTAGACAACTGCCCGTGCTGAGCGTTTTGTCAACAAAGGATCTTTTTCATGGTTTGATTGGCTTCTAGTAACCAATTGAGCATGTCAGCAACATTTTTTTCTTCTTACTTTTGTAGATCTATCATTTGCTACTATTTTGGCTCGACGAATCCACAAACTTCTTCAAGAAAAGGATGAACAGGCTGGAACTAAGGCAAATGACTGGCTACAACTCTGAGGCTTTAAGCGGTACTGGAATCCAAGAAAATGGAACATTCAGGAAAGCCCTATGGCAAAGAGTCTATTCATCAGTTATTTCAATTCTTTCTGAAGTAATCGCTTTTTGTTGACCGTGACTCCAACCTAGACCTGCTGATGGATGGAGGGAATTGGTTTTCAAGTCTTTGGCTACAGTTTTTCAAAGTGAAAACATAGTCGAACTTCATTATGAGA